AATCTCTGAATAACACCCACATGTACATATTTTTTTTAAAGTAGACAACCCAGGGTATTCAATATGGGGTATGTCCAGTCTTTTTTAGTAGCCACTTAGTCGAAAACACTGGCCAAAGTAAACATTCATATTTGTTTGTGTGTGAAAAAAGTAAAAAAACTAAATTGAACGCTAATTTTGGCCAGTGTTTGTGACGAAGTGGTTACTAAAAAAGACTGGACATACCCCATTTGCAATACCTTGGGTTGTCTTCTTTTGCAAATGGTATGCCATCATGGGGGTAATTCTCATTCCTGGGCTACCATACTCTCTCAAAGGCAACGTAACCAGCCTGGCCATTTTCAATGTAAAAATATTTGACCCATATATTTGACCTTGTAACTTTCAAAAATGCTATAAAACCTGTACATGGGGGGTACTGTTTTACTCAGGAGACATCGCTGAACACAAATATTAGTGTTTAAAAACTGGAAAACGTATCACAACAATTATATCATCAGTAAAAGTGCTGTTTGTGTGTGAAAAATGCAAAAAAGTAACTTTCACTGACAATATCATCGCTGTGATATGTTTTACTGTTTTGAATCACTAATATTTGTGTTCAGCGAAGTCTCCCGAGTAAAACAGTACACCCCATGTACAGGTTTTAGGGTGTCGTAGAACGTTACAGGGTAAAATACAGTGCTAGCAAATTAAATTCTCTGGAATTTCGGCCTGGGTTGGCAGGCAGGTCCTCAAATTGCAATCAATAAAATTACTGAATTATGTAAAAATATTACATAAATACGCACGTAGAATTTAAATATATATGCATATTTATATATTTGAAGTCTACGTGTATATTTATATAATTATTTATGTAATTTTGTATATGGACATATGTATATTTCTTATTATTTTTATTTATTTTTAAATACATAGATATATATACAAATTCATTCTAAGTGTATTTTGATATAAATATATATATATTAATTTTAAAATACAGTTAGAATAAAATTTCATATAGCTTTATAATTTTTTAAATTTTTTTTATTATTTAAAAAATTTTTTATTTAATTTAAATTACTTATTATTTATATTTTATAATAATATATATATACAATATATATAGTTATTATATATATTATATATATACGTGTGTAATTTAATTATAAGTGTATTTTTATATTAATATAAGTACATAATAATATAAAAATACACTTAGTATGGCATTATATATATGATATATAGACATATATTATATAGATATAATATATGTCTATATATCATATATACACATATATAATTATTTAAAATTTTTTTATTAACACTAACTTTATTTTTTTTTCTGATTTTACACTAGCAGGGAGACTGCCTGTCAGCACAGGCAGTCCCCCTGCAGGCAAACACATGGACACCCATTGTGCCCATGTGATCGCTGTGTTGAGCGATCACATGGCCCCAGGGGTCCTAATTCAGTGTGGGGAGACTGTCTGGGCTTCAGGCAGTCTCCCCACACCCGGAGCCACGCTGATCGCCGCCGGGGGAACGACGGCGATCAGGTAAGTAGCTCAGACCGTTAGGACGGTTCAGGACCGTCATCGGTCGGCAAGCCAAAAATGCCGATGACGGTCCTGAACTGTCCTGGGTCGGGAAGGGGTTAATTACATTTTATAGATTTCGCAAACATCCAACTCAGCACCAAGTCACAACTTGCTGAATAAATCCTTCATAAACAGATTGTTTCCAGCATGGAAATTGGGGCAGCCATTTGAGGTCAGGTTGTATTTGGTATGTGAGCTCATAATACAGCTCTGTGGTATATGTTCGCACGTTTTGACATTAACCTCTGAAGGACACGTGACATGTGTGACATGTCATGATTCCCTTTTATTCCAGAAGTTTGGTCCTTAAGGGGTTAATGATGACTACAATCTCATTAAAATTGTGATATCAGAAGTGCTGCTCTGGGTTGCCCAGTGGGAGGGCAGTTAAATAGGCAACTGGATTGTGAATGCAGCCTGCATCACACAAGACCAGCACAGCTCGGAATTGTAAGATTCTCTCTGTGAGACAGACACTGCCTATTCAGAAAACTCATTCCACCATCTGTCTGAGTAAGTGCCTCTTCCCACAAATACCTATCTCCTGCGCTCCCATCTCCCAGCTCCCAACAATCTTCCCATGCTCTGCACACCATCCTGGATCCTACAACAATGCTGGGTCATGAATGAGTCCCTTTTAACTCTTAGCTTGATTAACAGAATATTGTACCTAAAAGAGACATGTGTACAATCCCATACAGAGCAGTCAGAGCAATGATCATTATCAGAGTTGTTCAGTAAAGAGTGAAATGCCAGGTCTGCAAACAAGCTAACTTTGGCGATTTTTCCATATCCGCTATTTTAGCCTAACATTTGAAATGATTACTCTCCCTGTTTATCTTAGCCTTGAAATATAATATCCTACTATACTTTAAGTTCTGTACACCAGCAGCAAAGCTGGTTATGGTTATAGATTAGTGGGGGCCTTAAAAACCTAATGTTCTCTTGCTTGAAAGTTGGGGCACATGAAACGACACTTTGCTTAAAGCAGGATTCCTCAAAATCCGACCCTCCAGATGTTGCTGAACTACAACTCCCATGATTCTATGAATGAAATAGATAGGTTGAGAACCATGGGAGTTGTAGTTCAGCAACACCTGGAGGGCCGGAGTTTGGGGAAGCCTGGCTTAAAGGGACACCTGTTATGTTCAAAATTTTAAATATTTGTTGTAAAACTGCAGTTTTCCATTTTTACTTCTGGGATGTTTGCAGTTTTTTGCAGAGATTCTCCAAGCTGGCATCTCTCTTTCCATGTAATCACCCAAAAAGAGAATGGCAAGGTTTTTACAATTTTTTTTTTCTTTTATGAGAACCTGTCTCCCTTCTTTTGCATGTCTGCAGCTCCTGGTGGCCCTGGTGTATTGTTGCACATGATCAGGAGTACAAAACAGTGGTCAATCGAAGGTTCCGCATGTACCTTCATGATGATGCACAATGATATGTCCTTATTAGTTGTATACAATGTGTGAATAGATGTGAGACTGCTCATGAGAAATGGCAAGAAGCAGCAACAGAAGCTGTGTGATGTCTCTGCCATATGGAGCTAGTCCGTATGATAAAGTATTGTTGTATGATATTTTCTGATTTGCGCTGTAATTTCAACACACATATAACAATACATGTCTCCCTCCCTCCCACGGTACATTCAATGAGACTTCCACATTTTCACTAATGCAGAGTCAGACAATATTGGCTCATGTGTTTAGCATTCTTGCTGATGATGGCATACTCTTTACAAATTAAAATTGCATATGACAGCTGCTACCTTTAGCACATTATTTTCTGCCTCAGTTTTGTAACTGGAAGTGATTTTGTATTTAATTATAAAACAATCCACTAATTAAGGATTGATAACAATACAAGACATTCCTGTTCGTGATGACTCCACTTTGATACATATGGTGTGAGTGTGTTCACTGGTTAAAGGACCACTTTAGGCACCCAGACCACTTCAGCTTAATGAAGTGGTCTGGGTGCCAGGTCCATCTAGGATTAACTATTTTTTTTAATAAACAAAGCAGTTTCAGAGAAACTGCTATGTTTATAATATGGTTAATCCAGTCTCTAGTGGCTGTCTCTTGACAGCCGCTAGAGGCGCTTGCGTGCTTCTCACTGTGAAAATCACAGTGAGAAGACCCCAGCGTCCATAGGAAAGAATTGTAAATGCTTTCCTATGAACTGGCTGAATGCGCACGTGGCTCCTGCCGCGCATGCGCATTCAGCCGATGACGTTGCTATGGAGGAGGAGAGCTCCCCGCCCGGCGCTGGAGAAAGGTAAGATTTTAACCCCTTCCTCTCCCCAGAGCCCGGCAGGAGGGGGACCCTGAGGGCAGGGGCACCCTCAGGGCACTATAGTTCCAGGAAAATGAGTATGTTTTCCTGGCACTATAGTAGTCTTTTAAGCATTATATTTTTAATTAATACATTCAAAAGATGGGGGTCTCAAAATCTCTTCTTCGCGCATTATGCACGGAATTTGAAGCTATTCAAAGTCTTTCCCAGCCCTAGGGCAGACTCAAAGATTTATAGTGTGAGCCACTAGCTTCCGATTGTCATCTTCTGCTTTGACTGCACTTCTCCTAATGTACATATGAAAGAAGCAGATAACAATCAAGAGGCTCTCCTAGAATTGCAATGGTTTTTAATGGAACCACAGAAGAGGATCATTAGCCCAATGTATATTTTATGGCATAGTGCAATAGTGATTGCTATTGTACAGCTGTTGCAGATACATCAGTTAGATTCACTAACATGTCCATGCCCAGATTCTACTGGTTGTGCTTTAAGAATGAACGAATGATGGGTCAAGCAAGTGTTTGTTTTAGTTTCCCTACTATATAAAAAAAAATGTAATCCTGTATACCCCTGCACTAGAGTATTGTAATCTCAATAAACCCAAATAAAGCATCAGATCTTGTTTTGCTTCTGAAGGAAAGGTTGAGTGTATGGTTACATTTTAGAATTTGGAAGTGGCATTACTATTCACTAACCAAGCAATTGTGGAGAATTCTCAAGGAAACTACACAATTCACAACTCACAATTCACTACATAAGGTCGAAGTAGCTGAAACTGGAAACTTTTCCCAAAAATTACTTCATTATGGTAAGGTGGGGCCTGGCCACTAACTGAGCAAGACGCAGGTTGAAGTAGCTCCTCTGCCTATATGTTTTTTAAGCAAAAACAAAAAGGACAAGCTACCTCCTAATTCCTTCTGACATGGACATACCTTGACAGGGGGTGTATGGACAACCTCTTGAGGTGAAAACCTGAAACTTGCAGCCTGTAACTTGCTACAGGGCGGGTGATGCGGCCAGTCCCCCGTCCACTAAATGACCTGCAAACAACTTAGGTCCCGCTTTCCCCCCCTCTGGACCAATGGGGATTATCCCGGTTCCTTGCTGACATGCTGTGAGATGCCGCTACGACAAACGGAGCGCCGAGCGGTGGTACATGAAATGGCGGACGCACCTGCGCCTGTGAAACAGGGCCCAGTGCCGCATCAAGTTGACCTTGAAGCAGCCTTCAACCACTTTTGGACGACCTTAACGGACAGGATGAAGCGGGCGCCCCCAGCAAAATTACCAAGGGTGAGAGAGCAGACACGCGGCGGAACAAGGTCCAAGAGATCCCCCAAATGCAAACCACCCTCAGGGTCAGCAAAATGTAATACCTTGTTCCTTCCTGGGTCTAGGGCCACCTGGGAAATACCCCCAATGCATCAACCACACAAGCAGAGACGACCGACACACAGACACCTACCCCAACACAGCATAGCCCCCTGCAAATTCCTGAATGGATGGAACTTGGACTCAGGGAGACTCCAAGTTCATGGCAACATGATGTGGGAACAAGCCTGGTGCATGGGGAATGCTTCACTTCTGAAACGCAGCATGGCTCACGACTGTGGACAGTACACATGTGGAAGATGGGCACACAGCCAAGGTATCGGCTGACTTTCTAAATACATGAGCTGGCTGCCAACTAAGATAAGTCTCCTGACAGGGACTCTAACCTAGGCTACAACAAACCCAGTGGCACACAAGCGACAAACGTCTTTTTATTTGGTTTAACACTGCTATATGCTACTACGTTTATAGCTAAGACTGTTTACTAGCTTAACCTATATTTATAGCTAAGACCGGTGAACCTAGCTAGTGATATAATTTTTGAACAAATCACACCATGTCAAGACATCTATTCACGATTTCAGCATGTTTACCCCTATACTAATTCAGACACCTAACATGTCTTCTGGCTATACAACTCACGTATATGTGGTTACACTTAGCCTTTATCTTGTTAATTAGCTAAACAGACCTGGCCCTTGCTTGTTATTATTAATATAAAAAATAAAAAAAAACTGTGCCTGACCTAAAATGCCAACCACTGTAAAGATCTGTATGTCTATTAACCAAAAATAAAGATTGACAAAAATGACTTCATAATGAATGTACATTTTATAGGTCAATGTTGATGCTGAAAAAAATGTGTTGTTTTTTTTGTGTTTTGTTTATTTATTTCTTTTTTTTATCTAAAGCCATTTACCCTAGCAGAAGGAACCAGTAAAAGCATCAAATCTCCAGAAAAGTAATTTAACATATTTAAATCTAATATTATAACACAATTGACTACTATATATCTGACTAATATGCCAGTTACTGTGTATATGTAAAGATTATATAGCAAGGCTGGGCAACTGTGTCAGTGTAATTTGTGTTATACCGTAGATCATATGACCTTTGGCTGGCCGGTGCCAGGGTGATAGTGATGGGAGTTGTAGCTCAATAGAAGCAATTTGCCAGCCACAATTGCTCTGTAAGGATGTGTGTGAATAGGCATAGGATTTCCTGTTGTTTACCTTAAAACATTATAATAAACTGAATGGGTTTTGAAAAGCAGTGTGAAAGACACCATAAATACAAATCAGTTGTAATTAACACAACTGTAAAGATATTATCCTTTTAAAGAATACTTACCTCTTCATTGATGAGAAAAAAAAGGTTTAGTAATCACTTTGCTTTAAAAATGCTGTTCTGCTTAGACACTAATTGACTGAGAGATTCTAGAATTTTAAGAAAAGAAACTTAAGCAAAGCCATTACTGTCTTGTACTTGTCTCGCATGACAAAGACCTAGAATTAATTTGGACCAGTGCGAATACAAATAAGGTCAATTTGATCAAGTTTAAATCAATATTTTGCACAAGATTTTACAATTTAAAAGTAAAAAAGATGGTGTCTTATTTTTTACTATTTGTTATGGAAGCTTTATATTTATCAACGAATTTTAGAACTGACACCATAGATGCAAATTATTTACAAAAATAGCCCAAATGGATACATTTTAGAACTCAGCTGTTTCAAATTGAAATGTTCTATTCCTTCATCAATACTCTAACTCTCTTCCAGTTTACACATTATATTTCTTAATGTTCTATATCAATCATAAAATGTAAAAATGCCTTTTTCATTGGATGTCAATTTCCCACTATAAACTTTAACCAAGCAGATTAGACCATGCTGCACATGCAGAGCTTTGAGATGTTAATTTAGCATCCTCTGAGTTCAAAGAATGAAGAAAGAAAGAAAAAAAAACTGTTGCCAAAGAAGTGATATTAAGGATTTTTTTCAGAGTGCAGTTTTATTTTGGTGTTACTTCAGGCCAAAAACCTTGTATTTCTCTAAATGTTTAACAAATAACACCAGCCTTGATGTGTCTGCAGTTCCGTTAACAACCTTGGCAAAGATGGTCCACTGTGGTACCTGACATTGTAAGAGGTTTGTCTCATCCAGTCTTCAGCTATTGTTATCTCTAAGAATATCCTTGAGAGAGAAAAATTGGTTTAATTAGCATTTTTTTTCTCCCAATTGTTTTCTTAGTTTTCCTGCAAAGGCCATGAGTCTTCCAATAACCCTTACCTTGCTGAAAATCTACCCAAGCATAGTATGGCAAGGCATTGTAAGATGTAGGCTGGTTTTACAGCATTAAAATGATTGTCCTGAGTCTTCTCAATCGTTGGCAGGGTGACAGTAGTCGAGTGTGCAAACTTGTGCTATTGTCTCTAAGCCTTGGGGTACCATGGAGACTAAGTAATATGACACAGGAAAATGTTTTCTGATGGCAATTCTATGGGGCTTTGTCTATGTATTTCTACATCATGACGACTCGATTTAAGTCTCTAACTGTTTGACTACAAATGCAAGAGTGCTATCCAACTCAAGGCCTTTGTCCTGGAGATTTGAATGGGTAATTCAGCTTTTGTGTTGTTCAATTGAGGGGGCAAATATAAAGACAAGATTCTTCAGCTCCCAAACTTCCTCTCCATGGATATATGCATGTCTCTTCAGAGATTTGTTTCTTTTTACCTTTCTGACATCACCCCTTCAGCCAAAAAAAAAAGTGAAAAGGGGGTAAAAGAAAGAAATGGTCTGAACAGCTAAAAAAGTAGGCTTGTCCGCTCAGTAATGCTAGTATTGTCCTGTTCTACTCAGGCATGGACACTCCCAGCTTTGAGACTGAAGAAGAATTAAAGCAGGGTGTCCACCTATCTTTTCTTATTACGGGCATATCGCGTTTTTATTGTGTGGTGGCAGGACAGGGAGGGAAGCGGGACAAGGCCAAAAAGAAAGAAATCCAGAGAAATGATGGTGTTTATTAGTCATCTTTTTGTAACTATTTCCATGGAGACAGTTTGAGATGTTAAAGAATGTTAGAACACAGAGGTGAAAGCTTGATTGGGATTCTTTGTATTTGCAAAATGGATTCTGATTGGTCTACACGCCCTAACTAGACGTGGATGATTTTCATTCAGTTTACTTCCAAACACGGCAAACTCCACTTGCATCTTTTGCAAGGTTTGTAATCTAACAAGATTAGCCCTGGGCAGTTGGAGAGCAAACATGCAAACTGGGGATTTCTGATACATGTCTACAGTAAGTAAGAGTGAAAAAGGGGAAGGCATATGAGTTCTCTTAAAGGATTGTAGATTTAAAAAAAAAAAAATTAAACTTTCTTTTGGTTGTAATAGGAGGGGCTTTGAAGGTTTTTATTTTACATTGATCTGTCTTTATTTTTTTAATTAAGTGTTTCTTAAAATATTTCAATATATCAAGTAAATAGCAAACAGATTTGTCTTTAATTTGATTTGCTTTCTAATGCACTTTTTTTGCGTACTTCAACAGTTGCTTGATTTGGAGTTATCTATCCTGCGTGTTGTTTTTTTGCGGAAATTTGGTAGTTTACAATAAAAGGAAATATGGCTTCTGACAGTGAGGTAAAGACCCTGCTGAATTTTGTGAATTTGGCATCATGTGATATCAAAGCTGCTTTGGATAAATCTGCCCCATGCAGGAGATCTGTGGACCACAGGAAATATTTGCAAAAGCAACTCAAAAGGTTTTCGCAGAAATATTCTCGTTTACCAAGATGTCACCCCAGCAAAAGCTTGGATGGGAGAAAAGGACTGATAGATAAACATAATTCTGCTACGCTCAACAAAACCTTAAGTGGAAAGAATAGTGGACCTTTAGTGTCTGGGGAAAACTTAATCGATGGATTGTGCTCCAAAGAGGATCATATTGAGTCTGGAATACCAGACCAGGTGCCCATGAGGAAGAGACAATTGCCAGCATCATTTTGGGAAGAACCAAGACCACCTTCTAGTCTCCTAGGCATGGAGTATCCTTCACGACTTGATATTTTATACAAAGATGGGGTTGATGGTTCACTTCCTCTATATGAGACCAAAAGGCTAAAAAATGTGGTCATCCATGACCGATCCAGTGCACTTTGTGGCCATCCTTCTGGTGAAAAGGAGTCTGGGGAAGTACAACCTGTGGTTTCTTTCCGTGAGCGAATGGATGCATGTGGCTGCTGTGCCTTTCAGTACCATGGACAAGCATTACACCAACCCAGCCATGGACTGCTTTCCCAACATCCATTTACAGCTCTGGCTCTGTGGAGTAAAAACACCGTCCCGACTGTCGAAATCCAGCACTTATGTAAAGAATCAGGACAGCGGATTTACAGACACGTGGTTCTCAAACCCATCCCTACAAAGCCAGCAGTTCCCTCATCTGTGTTCAATGTGTTTGGCTATATATAATGCAGAGAGGGAACACTGGACCTAATATATATCCCAGTGTTCGTGTTTTGGGTTTTTGTTTTGTTTTGTATTTTTGTAGTTTGTGCACATGGAAGAAACTTTGTGTGATTTTTAAATGATTTAAACTCTGAAAAGTAAGCTGAATGAACAGCACTAGTGGACCGCCAAAATATTGTCCTCGGCAGTTCTGGGTGGTAACTACTGGTTTTAAAACCTTGAGCATCAGAGAAAGGAACAGCATGTTGCAAAGTCAAACACTCATGGGGTTAACAGCCTTTGCTGATCTATCCCCATATAGCTCCCATTCTTAAACTATTTCTGTGTTTCAATGAGCTTTTGTTTAATTGCATAAAAATATATTTTGTGATTTCTCTCTCCCCCATACTTTTTTCTCCTTGAAGAAGTTTGGAAAGATAAATAAGCATTTGTAAATATTACTACAAAACTACAATAAATCACAATTGGCTTTATTTTTCTAAATGATTATTTGTACTATTTTGTTTTAAACATGTGTCTTTTATCCATGATTTTTAATTTATTGCATTAGGAAATAAAAATCTATTCACAAAAGAAGTATACTAAGCTTATTGCTAGCAATAAAAATAGCCATGTTTATATTGAAAAGGGATATATCAATATTCTTGAAATAAGATAAATATTTGCCAAAAGTGTTGTGAATTTGTGATCAAAATGCAAACCTCATATATGTATTTATAACATTAAATTGATGAAACTATAACAAAATGACAGGATAGATAAAAATTTGAAAAACAAAAATGAATTCTACACCAGATAAACGCTTACAAATCTTTAGACTGAGTTTGCTTATATTTCATTTTCAGTATTTTTGCATATCTTGAGCTTTCTTTGTTTCTTGTGTTGGCCTTTACATCTTCCACTGGGAAGCTTTTCCGTGTATCTACTACCTTTTCTACATTATGTTGGCCTTTACATTTTACACTGAAAGGCTATTCCAGGTAACTACTACCCTTTCTATATCATGTTAGCCTTTACAGCATCCACTGGAAGGGTAATCCAGGACCCTCTCTTCTTTCTACTGGAAGGCTATTCTAGGTATTTGTTTCTATATCATGTTATCTTTTACCTATTGCATTGGAAGACTATTACATTTATTTACTTCTCTTCTTAGAACAATATTAGCCTTTACCACGTCATCCAGTAGGCTAGTCAATGTTTTTATTGTCTTTTCTGTCACTATTAGCCTTTACTATTTCCATTGAAAGGCTGTTACATATATCCACAACCACTACCCATTGTGTATCACTGTAAACATTTGCTTCTGTTTAACATCAAATTGATTAAGCAAAGATGTGTTCAAATTAAAAAAGTCATTATGAATAACCCATGTATTCTATAATTGCTCTTCTGTGTTAGATAAAACAAAAGAAGGTTCAGCGCTCTACAAATACACAATACAAGTGCACAGTGTTCTAGAGGTGCAGTAAAAAGAAAACACATACACTTAAAATGAACTTTATCCACAGAAGTACATGTTAATGAGCCTGTAAGTACAACTGGCTCAGGTAAACAAACATAGGTAGGATGGAAGGAATATTCAACAGCTCATGTTTTCTCCCCCAGTGCTCACATATAAAATGGAATAGTAAACAGGGGTTAAAGGTAAAATTCAAACATTTATTCCAAACATAAATAAAATCCTTACATATAAGAACACAGCAAGCTGTACACAGGGAAACTTCTTAACACAACGCGTTTCGGCAAACAGCCTTCTTCCGAATGTGTCTCTTCTGTGTTAGTCTTTGTCTTTTTCTGAATAGTTAACCCACATATCCATTAAACTTTCTTTGCCATTGTTGATTTGTGCTGCTTTCACAGTAAGGCTATGCTACTACTCTTTCTATATCATGTCTGCATGACCCACTTCCATTGAAAGGCAATTCCAGGTATCTACTACCCTTTTCAAATCACTGTTCCCATTTCCTACTTATTTTGGAAGGTTTTTCCAGTTATCTACTAGCCATTCTATATAACGGTTATCCTTTTCTACTTCCCCTGAAATATTTTTCCAGATACCTACTACACATTTAATTTCACTGCTATCTTTCAGAACGTATCCACAATTCTATTAAAAAAAATCTGTGAAAATAGAACCTTCCACATTTAAGTTATAGGCAAAACTCTCTATATAAATTATTAGGTTATCTACTTAATTTGAGGAATAGTCTCCTAAATTGAGCACAAATGGAATTGAAAGTAAAATGATACATTAATATATGCGATTTGGGGTCTTTCGGAGAAACTATCCATACATTTCCTTTTTAATCTGACTGCATTAAAAGTTGCTGACATGCAGTATGTAGTATTAATGTGCTGCAGGAAGAAGATCCATCGATAAACCATGTGGTAGAGGAAACCGTGGTTGGACCTTTTGCTTCCTGCAGCACATGAATGCTACGTACAACAGAGCAGAAAATGTCATACACTGCCCTTTAACAGGAAATGATATGATCTCATGAAAACAGTCATGGACATTTCTGATACAATCAAAAGCTATCAAAAGACCAACTAGGTCGAGGATTTTGGCTTTTGAGTCAAGCTATGGCAATATGTGCCAAAAGGCAGGGCTTCATACAGCTTCCCTCCAGCATCTTTAATTTCCTCTTTAGCTCTCCTATGCTCTCTTTCCCCCCCAACACCATCAAACAAGCACTCATGTCACCTAAGGGACGATGTTTTTGCAAACAATGCCACAGCTGATAGCACTGAATGTACAATATTTAGTAACTTAGATCAGTATCAGGTTTGGAGATTGATGGGAAGACACCAGAATATAAAATACATGTTTGCACTGACTGTACAGATGCCAAATGTTATTTTCATGTTACTGTAGCCTAGCCAAAATGTCATGGAAAGAAAAGCCCTTAGTTTTCTATTCTAGGAATATTGTAATTGTCCACTCCATTGCCCCAGAGCACTGTGTGATGATGATGGTATTTTTGGGATGAAAATAGCTTTATGAATGAAGTACTCTATTGAAGTGCACTTGAGAGAAAACTGAATTTGATTTCATTTATGATAAGTTATTATGGTTAAGTTAAAGTGTCTACTAAAAGAGCATCTACTTAACGGACAGCGGTCATCAAATATTCACGCACATCAATTTTCAGGAGGGACAGGCCCCATTTTGGGCCCAAATTTCTATGTCCCTCTTTTCTATGAGCTCCATATTGTTGGTCAGTCTGAGTTCCACAGCAATAACACTCACAGTAATGTCTCTTCAAACTACAATAAATGTGTCTAGAGATCAGTCTGTTAATAAAATACACTGTTCTTGATGTAAATGACATGTTCATTGCTTAAATCATCACCATGTCACCTAACATTTTTCAGAAGCCCCACTCACACCCCTAACTTTAAAGTGTCCTTCTTTGTTCATTTGAAATGTTGGCATGTGTGTAATATGTTATCATGTCACTATTACAAAAACAAAAACACAACACTTGTACTTTGTAAACATTTATTTATATTCAGATTTGCAAACAACCAATACAAAAAAAAAAGACATTCAAAATATAAAGATACTAATGTCAAACACACAGAGTGCTCTTAATAAAAACAAGTGGATTGTACTTTAACATCCTCATTTTCATATAAAGCAGTTCCCTGATTTACAACACATACTGAAATCAAATACAAATTTAAATACTGTTGGATTTAGTCACTTAACAGTAAATTGTAGATAACAGACATGTTACCAGACATATTATCCAAAACAGTTAAGTTTAAATTTTCAAGTTTAATTTCAGCCCAACCACAATTTACTGTTTATGACAAGTCCAGGCAGGACTCACTAATGATAGTACTCAAGAATCATCAACTGGGTTTCAATAATACTTAGACTTTTTTTTTTTTTTTAAATATATATATATATATATATATATATATATATAAAACTTTTTTGTTTCATTAAGAATTTACAACTCATTTAGTTTCTTTAAGAATTTTATTTATTACTTTTTAGTTTTTAAGAATTTACAGCAAGAAAAATTGGAACAAAAGGAGAGCAAGAGGAATATACATTGAGAGCTGTAGTGGTTATGGTTCGCGGAGTGCCCTAACATCCTCCAAGTAGTCAAACCATTTGAGAACAGTTTGACAACTTTCCTGGTGTCTGGACAGGGAAGCTTCTATCTGGAACTTGACTGAGCTACACACTGTCAAGAGCATTAGCAGAGTGCTTTCAGCCAGTTAGAATATTTAGCATCATTTCCTTTAGTTCGAAGCAGGAAACTTCTGGGTAGTGCGCTGGGCACCTTTGACACCTCAGGTAAGTTGTTTATGCAATTCTATACAGCTTGACTACTTTTCCAGGGAGGATGACAGGACACTCCAGGCACCATAACTAATGCAAGGAGCCTAAATAATTAAATGGGGGAACCAGAGGCAATAGCATAGATTAAGCAATATGACATATTCGAGATAATAGGCATAACTGAAACAGGGTGGGATGAGACACATGACTGGGCAGATAACTTAAATGGTTACACATTATTTAGGAAGGATATAAAAGAAAACCGCAACGGTGGTGGGGTATGTTTGTATGTCAGTCATGCGTTAAAGCTAAATATTAAGCAAGTGGAATGTGATGAGGAAAATGTGGAAGCTCTATGGGTAAATACATGGCCGGTGCAAGGATTTATGCCGCCCTGGGACAAAAACAAAAATTGACACCCCATTCGCTCCACAGTGGTCATGTAGGTTTAATACCAGAAGATAAAACATTGCCTTACCTTGAAGGATTAAACACTGACAGCCACCTCCACTACAATGCCATGTAACTATTAGAAGCATTGCTTGCCACTTATGCACTTCAGGTCCCCATTGCTCCTGTATGAGATAAATGTAAGCAACCCCCCCCCCCACCCTTTTTTCTCTCTTTTTCTCTCTTTTTCTCTCTACACTATAGTATTCTGAATACAGGTTTAGATACCTAACACTGTAGTGTTCCTTTAAAATTATCCTTTTTACCCAATGCAATCACTAATACATACATACATACATACACACACACACACGCATTCACCCACTCACACTCAATGGTCCACACAATTACAATCAGTGTCCAATGCACACATAGATTCACTGACTCACGCAGAGTGACCCACACACACTGACTCAAGCAGACATACACTAATTCATGTAGACTGACATACACACACACACAAACTGACCCAAGCACACATACACCCTAATCTAAGCATACACACACACTGACTGAAACAGGCTGACACACAAACACACACACACACACCATGAAGTCCCCCACTTGCCTTTATTTCATATGGTCTCTCTGTGGTTCCCAGTCCAGACCTGGCTGCCTTGATTGTTTAAGCTCCGCCTATTGCTGTACTCCCGCCCACTTGACCTTGAAGGGGAAGGAGCCGAGTGTGTAGGGGGCCGGCAGCTCTCTGTAATCCTGGCTGGCTGAGGTTGATGGCACCGGGCGCTTGTCTGCAGCCATGTAAGTGCACAGTTTGACCCATATAGAGGGGGCAGCACAAACCAGCATTAAAGCTGCTGCTGTGCCCCACTCTTAAGTATCGCCCTAGGCGGCCGCCTAATCGGCCTATAGGATGCGGCCCTGGTTAGATATCTGCTTGGGGCAAAAGAAGGGAAATCAATTCTTGATATGGATGAGGAAGAACATTCAAGTAGGGGAGCAGTTGGGAAATAGTGATCACAATATGGTGTTTTTTGAAGTAAACAAAAAAGCAAATGCACATGTGATATACTAAAACATATAATAAACATTTTTTTTTTTTTTTTTAAAAGGCAGGTTGAGCTACTACCTCTCAAAAGCTGACCGCTCTTCTATTTCAGCGTTTAATGATGTTAATAATGCTGCAGAGGTAAGTGGGGGGAAGGGAGGGCAGCGGAATTAATGACCACTGCTACTGCACATACATGTTGCCATAACTTAACTTCAGATATATAAATTCTCATACAAAACAAGGCACAAATCTACAGTTCAAACTGAAATAATACATTTATAAACTGAGGTGTGCAAATATTTCAATGTAAAAGTTAAACTAAACAAGGAATATACTGCTAAATGTTAAACAATTATAAAAGGGCACTCTAAGCACCAAATAATGTAAAGTGAATTTCTGCATTAGTTGTCAATCCTAATGCTAACCCAGTGCCCTCAGCTGGTGATTGACATTCACAATTTCTTAGTTGCAGCAAGATGCCTGGGCATGTGATGCTTTGACAAACAAATTGGGTGGATGGCACCCCAAATCTCTTTGAACTCTAACTAATATAATAAACAAATAAAAATGTGTGGCTTGCACTAGAAACAAGTAAATATCATAATTGTGCAAATATAGATGTTATCACTTGGTATGCACGCTATTTATTGTGAGTGCCGATTTCTATGTGCATTTTAATTCCATATATATAGTATTTAAGTGCATGGAATAAAAATAAGGAATAATAATTATTGTAGTTGGTTTTTTCCCCCACATGCACATCTTTTTATTGATCAGTTATTAAATTGCTTCTGGATACTAAGCTTCCCTATATGCATTATATTGTCCATTTTAACACCGTACAAATCATCTTTTTTAAATGGCACAGCTGGGTATTGTAGATAATTATCCTGCAGTAATATGGCACAGTCCAAGAGCTTCCTATACTGAAGGGTTCGTTAAACAGTGATTAAACATGTAATTCTAGCAAGTATTCATGAGGTTTGGGATAAAGAAGCCAGCATACAATTGTAGATGCATGAGTAAGGTTTTTAATTCCAGAGACCCTGCCTTCGGCCTAATGTTAGTATTATGAAGAAGAGTTCAAAACACCTTTGGTTTCTGTGACCAGTCATTTTTATTCTACCACAAGTGTACTTTGAAATGTTTCACCTAAAACTGTTCTATCTCGTTTGTAGACCTAAAAATTGTAACACAGTAGTCAACTCACTATAAGTTTGCTAAATCTCCATATGTACGGGGCTCCGCTCATAAAAGCCAGCATGCATGAATAAACTAGATGGATTGTTACCCTATAACGGAGGACACTGCATGGGAATTCTCTTCCACAGTGGGTTTCTCTGAGTAAACTATGTGCATCAATGCTAAATGGATACAGTAGTTTACATACTGCAAAATAATATATGGCAACGGCTGTTAAAAAAAGATTCACGGCAGGGACACTCAACAAGTAGCTCTCTAACTGTTCTTTAAATGTCTGAAAAATCCCATGATACTTTCCTAGCCTACAGACTGGGAGAACATCGTGGGATGGTTAGTATTGGCTACACTTGATTTCATGTGTTACTCGTATACCTGAGAAGAATATATTGTAGATTTAATTAGGTAACACATACCCAGTGAATTACATTGGCACTTAAAAAGATCAACTAAACTTTTAAAAGTTCTGAAAAGATTCACATTCTGCTACATTTCACAATTTAGTAAATCGGTCCCCTACACGTTAATTGGATATTTTATGAAGTAACCTCGGGGCACTGAAAGGTACCATGACCTTTCAGTTTTTAACATAATTTGTATGATGCAGGCCTTTTTCCTGTGTGCAGTCAACACATGTACACCTACATAGAAACATAGAATGTGACGGCAGATAAGAACCATTCAGCCCATCTAGTCTGCCCAATTTTCTAAATCCTTTCATTAGTCCTAGGCAGGACTCCTCAAACCATCTGGCATTGGCCACCAGGGGTCCAGATTTTAGTGCTTATTCATTTCTGTTTCTTTTGATGTATCAATAAAACCTGGACTGTTGCTAAGTCACAGGAACTGTTTTGAGAAGAACTCAACTATGTCAGATGCATGGTGCATGTTGAACAGTCCACAACCATCTCTAGCCAGGCAGAGTCATTGGGACATCAGGCTTGTTCCCCAAGACAATAGGTAGATTATGTTTTTTTTAAACAAACTGTATTTTCAGAGTGACAAGACTAGAGACATGAATGTTTTATCTTCTCCTCCTTCCAACCCTGAAATACCCAAAAAGGACAAGAGCCATCATGTTAAATCACTTACTGAAAAATACCACTGATCTTGTCTTACTCATCTTAGATGCTCACTCTGCAGGGGAGCACATTTAAATCATCTTTTTACAACTTCTATGTTAATATGTCTTACACATGTATTATATATTATTTGTTAGGTAGTGCATGATGTGGCATTAATACTGTACACAAATAGACTAAAACCAAAATTCTAAATGGGCTATATTTTCTAAACTGTTACAGCAGACGTTCATTAACCAACCAGTTACAGATTAGGACAATAAGCATGAAAATGCAATTCGTTGCATGGGTATTGTTGTACGTTGGAACTTCACCCAGAAATTGACTTTATAAACCATCTCAGATCTAAGAAGCCATGTTACAGTACAAGCTTCATTTAGGCCAATAATTTCCATATCAAAATCCCAAGTAGTAGTAATCCCTTAAATGTTAAACCCCATCTTCTATAAATATGTAAATATTTATATTGTAAAATATTGGCAACATTTCACATAAACCTGACTTGGGACCAACTTTCTACAGAGGTCTTTAAAATTTGACATTACAAACAATAATGAGATGGCATTTAAGTTGGTTATATTAATCGACTCTCAAGCATTAGATTTTTATTAGAAACCCAGACAATTTGGTAGTACAAGACAGCTATCAGTAAAACACCAATTTGACAAACATGTAAAATTTAGTGGTGCCAGTGTTTCATTATTGGGCCAGGAGTTGGGGAAACATGTAGGTATTGTAGAGAAGATATTATATTGCAAGAGGGTAAATGGCTATAACTAGTAAGTAGCAGGATGTCTAGGCATCCCTTTGGTACTCTAGCAGTTTGGCGAATTGGTCGTCTATACAATACTAACGGGACTGCAATATATAAAGCATATTATTAGATCGGTGATTTAGGCCTCCTTGTCCATTGTGCATCTCTCCCCTGATTAGTAGGATGTCCTGTAGAACCTTGAATTTAGTTATAGTACATCCCATCCCTTTACACAGACTGGATAAGGGAAAGTGTGTGGGGTGTCCACATTTATTAACCCATACTCCACTGCTCAGGGATATGATGGGTCGCCCACTCATGTGTCTTGTCTCCTCTACCACACCCATGACAAATGACTGTCTCATGGTTTTGCAGATTTTTGGGGGGTACTAAGGCACCAGCACACCTAGCTTCAGGTTTGAATATCTGAAATGCCCTTTATTCAGCTCAAAGTAAGAGCTGTGTGTTAGTTGATATGTGATGTTCTATAATTATAGAATGTCAGTTATCTTAATAATCCTAAGTGAATTGAATGGAGTATATCAAGTGCAGGTATGTAACTGTGCAGGCAAATCACTGTTAGCCCATAAAAAGTAAATACATATGTTTCTTTTTTTTTTTTTTTAACCAATTACGGTTTGTGTGAAAACCTGACTTTTGGATATTGTTTTATCACTTGTCTTGAAACTGAACTCATCTGACACTTTTCAACTAATATTTGTTTTAGAAGTTGATAGAAAGTTGGACCTCAGTGGGTAAATGCCACAATTATTACTATTTTAATTGCTCTAATATTAAGAGTGATTTATATGTTAACAGAATGCTTTACAATCTGAATAAAAATCATGCAATTGAACTAAAATATTACTCAGTGTTTTACTGCACAAACTGTGTGATACGTGCGGGTTGCTTCTCATTTCTGGGGTTGCAAGATTATAAATTGATTTAAGGAAAGCTATGAAAAATGCATACATCAGTGCTGTACTGGTTAAAGTAAATCCCCCAAGTTTTTAGTTTTTTTCTAGGTAACTCTTTAATGTTAGCTCTACTCTATCCAAAAACTATAAAACTTTATAACAACATTTATTTAACTTCTTCAATCCCAGAGTACCTGGAATGCATCAGTGAGACGAGCAATGAATCCCTGGGTAACTCATTTATTCTGAAAACTTTATTTGATCTCAAACCTTTGCATCCCAGAGAAGTCCCCAACTTTCATCTAAATGGTTACCATTTTGGAGAAGCTGTTTTTTCCCCCCAATTATAATTATTATACTTTTTATTTTACTTTTAACATGCAAAAATGCTAGATGCATTTTGACCCTAGAAGGCAGAGCTGTATATAAAAAAAGTTCTTCCCTCTGCAGAACCTATAAGGGAGACTTTCATTCTTATCATAAACATTCTTACAAACCTTTAATTACGTGTTTTGTTCTATGCTTTTTTTCATTTCACTTCTTCACAGATGTGTGCTGTACGTTAGATTTCAACTCCATGACAGACAGCACCTTATCTGTCTTCAAATTACTCTGTATAAGTAACCTACTGCATGACAGTCAGTTTCATTCATTCTCTGTGTTTTGACGCTCGGTCTAATAGTCCTCAGAGTAATCGTAGCTTAGATATCGAATCAACCTGGGCGGCAGCGGCAATCTGTTAATCTTTTTTAGGCGTTTAAGTCCAAGAATGTCCCGCACTTTTAAACGACACAGATGGAGCAAAGGTCGAGGAGGTTCTAAGGAAAGAAACAAAGTCTTAAATGTATATGGTAACTCAAGGCCAGAAGGGATGTTTACATTTTAAATATTGCAAAAAACAAAATTAAAAAAACAAAACGTGCAATCAGACTTCACTCACACAAATGAATGTGTCTGGCTTAAAGGGAATATTTTCTCTAGGAACTTACCACATTTTTATATTATGTTATTATTATGTTATTATTTATATAGAGCCAACAAATTCCGCAGCGCTTTACAGTGGGTGGACGAACAAACGTAGTTGTAACTAGACAAGTTGGACACACAGGAACAGAGGGGTTGAGGGCCATGCTCAGTGATCTTACATGCTAGAGGGAGTGGGGAAAAGTGACACAAAAGGTAAGGATAGTGTTAGACTAATGACAGTTGCAAGAGAGGAATCAGTCGGGAGCTATTAACAGTTTAATAGATATGCTTTTGTGGGTTTTAATTATTTTTTTGAAGGAGTGAAAACTGGGTGAGCATCGAACAGAGGAGGCAAGTGAGTTCCACAGGAACAGTGCAGCCCTCGAGAAGTCTTGAAGGCGAGCATCAGAGGTGGGAGTACGGACAGAAGATAAACGTAAGTCTTCAGCATAGCTTAAGGGCCTACTGACATACTTGTGTATTAGGGAGGATAGATAGGTGGGAGCAGCATTATGTAGAGATTTGAAAGCAAGAACCAGAACTTTAAATTGAGCCCTATATCTTACAGGAAACCAATGTAGGGACTGACAGAAGGGTGAGGCGTGGGCGGTGCGGGCAGACAGGAAGATGAGCACGTAAGACCACTGAGAAGCTGCATTCATTATGGACTGTAAGGGCGCAAGTTGGGAGCACGTAAGACCACTGAGAAGCGGATTACAGTAGTCAAGGCAAGAAAGGACAGTGGAATGGACCACCACCTTAGTCGCATTTGGCGTTAAGTAGGGTCGGATGCGCGCAATGTTTTTGAGATGGAAGCGGCAGGATTTGCTGATAGACAGAACATGAGGCATGAAGGAGAGGCCGGAGTCAAAGAGAACACCTAGGCAGCAAGCCTGCGTGGTGAAGCTGATGTTAGCACCGTTGACTTGGAGGGAGACAGACATAGGAGTAGCAACACTTGAGGAAGTGTTTTGGTCAAGTTGAGCTTAAGGAAGTGGGCAGCCATCCTGTTAGAAACAGTAGAGAGGCAGTCAGAGACCCTAGTCAAGAGGGACGGGGAGAGATCGGGAGAGGACAGATAGATTTGCGTGTCATCCGCATAGAAATTATGTTGGAAGCCAAAGGAGCTAATGAGTTTACCAAGGGATGCAGTATAGATGGAGAACAGTAGGGGACCAAGGACTGAACCTTGGGGGAAACCAACAGAGAGGAGTTGGGGAGAAGAAGCAGAGCCAGAGAAAGAAACACTGAAAGAACACTGGGAGAGGTAGGAAGAGCACCAGGAGAGAGCAATATCTTGTAGACTAATATTGCGGAGGATGAGAAGAAGCTGTTGATGATCAACAGTGTCAAAAGCCACAGACAGATCAAGGAAAATTAGGATAGAGTAGTGACCACGAGATTTTGCAGCGAGTAGATCATTGGATACTTTGGTCAGTGCCGTTTCCACCGATTGCTTAGCGCGGAAACCAGACTGAAGTGGGTCTAGAAGAGAGTTGGACTCGAGGAAGTCTGTCAATCTTGTATACACAACTCTTTCAAGGATCTTGGATGCAAAAGGGATAGGACGGTAGTTGGACGGGGAGGTAGGGTAAAGTTTGGGCTTTTTTAGAATTGAGGTTATAGTTGCATGTTTGAATGGCGAAGAAAATATGCCAGAGGAGAGAGAGAGATTGAGAGGTAGAGAAAGAGAAGAAGACAGAGTACGGATGAGATACAAGGGAATTGGAGAGCAGAAACCTCTTCCGCTGTAGCGGGTGGGAATGAACATAGAACAGCAGAGGGAGTGAGGTTAGGGGAAGTATTGTAAGGAGAAGAAGAAAGATGAGAGATCGCTTCCCTGATTGTAGAGATCTTGTCAGTGAAGTGAATTGCAAAGTCTGAGGCGGTCAAGTTAGTAGGTGGAGGAGGAACAATAGGGCGTACATGAGAGTTAAATGTGTGAAATAGTTGTTTGGGTTCGTGGGAGAGTGTGGTTATGAGGGCATTGAAGTAATTTACTTTTGCAGAGGAAAGAGCCAAGCTGTATGAACGCAGCATAAAATTATAGTGGAGAAAGTATATATGATTAGATATTTATTTACATATTTGTATTTTTATGTATGCACTTACAGGGTCATTGTGCCTGGAGGGAGAAGGTAGACGCACTGTTGCATAATGCGCTTGCTACCTCGGCTAGCTTTGTGGAATTAACTGAAGCAGAATAAAACCACCCTTGCTATGCATTTCTGCACTTATTTATAAGTGCCAATTTCAAAAAGAAATCAGATTTTATAAAGAAAAAATCCTGACACTTAAGGTACTTAAGCAAGCTCAAGTGCTTTATGTGTGAGGAGTGTTCCTTAACATCAACTTAAAGGTATACTCTAAGCACCAGAAACACTACAGCTTAATGTAGTGGTTCTGGTGCAAAGAGAATGTTCCTACATCTTCAGAGACGCAAACACTAGAGTGAGGTACCTCTCATTCATATATCTACTAGATGCCTTTCCTGGTGGCTTTGCACTGAAATGCGCTGAAAAGTAGTGAGCAGAAGAAATCTAACGTTAGTGTTTCTTTAAGTCCAGATGTACTGGGCAACATTTTACCTCATAGGTTTAAACCAAAGTACTCCTAGCCTTCCTTTACCTCTGACTCCAATGCTAAAGCCTTTCCCTTGGACAATGATGGGAAGGCTGGCTGGGAGAGAAATGTTTTAGAAAGGTATAAAGGTATGCTTTTATAAAGCATATTTCTAAATTTACAGCCTGTGACAGCCTGAGAGAGTCAACCAATGCTCTCAGCCTACCACCAGTACCAGGGATAGGCTTCAATAATGGAGTTAGAGAGGCCAAAGCAGACAAGCAAAGTCAAAAGGACTTTGGGATTAAAACCGTTTAACCATACAAGGAAGGATGGCAACCAGACCTCCAGACACAATATTGACCTCATTGAGATGAAGTTACTATGATACCTGGAGTGTCCCTTTTATTATAGAACATATTCAAAAAAACAACATAATGAAAGGAGTCTAAAACAATTGTCTGTCATTTTTCAGTAACTGTTTATAATCAGATAAATGTCTTGCAATTCCAAAAATAACCACTTTGACACTATGTAACTGTCACATAACAGGTCGCCCAACAGATTTTAGCAAGGCAGTCCCAATTTCAGGGTCCTGTCCCATTTTTGAGACTGTTACCTAATGTCTGGAGACACTAGGGAACTGCCCTCAGGTAGCAAAGCACAACTGCATCATTAGATGAGCTCACTCTGAACAGGCACTAGGACCCTGCAGATAGCACTTCTGGAGCACTCTCTGCATGGTCCTAGAGCTTGTGGACCGGCCATTATTGCCAGTGATGCATGTTGTGTTGCTGGTTACTCTCCCCCCAATGTTAAGAGGTATTACATATACAAGTAGTAATCCATGGTACATTTCTTTTTTACTAAAAATAAAATAGTACTTGTGTTACTGGTACTAATATAGTCATAATGTGTATGGTTTCCTCATTGACATACCTGACCTTTTAACATTTTACTCTTTTATTGGAAGCACTACTTTTCTAACAGACCATGCACAATATGGAGGTCTGAGTGAATTTTTGCGATGGTCGGCACTGGAACATGATGTCAGGATAAACATTAAATTTTTTGTCAGATAAACAGTTTCCAACCAATGAGGATGTAAAAATGGCTGCTCCACAAAGCAGGGGCAATCAAAGAAATGGTCACCCTGAGCTACAACCATACCTGACTTCTTCTTTATGTTGGCCCAGTCTTCGTAGCTGTCTAAATGCTCTTGTAAGCGAGAGCAGAGGCTGACGTTACCCACGTAATCTAGAAGAACATCTATTATGGGCCCAGCCCAGCGACTTATTTCTGGAGCAGAAATCATTTCACAAAACTGGAAAAAGGAAATAAAATTATTAAAATCTTTATATTTAGCATGTACATGCAAAATATTCTCTTAATCACATACAGATATTAATTTAAACTTTGTCTCTTTTGCTCACTCTCTCTGACACCATGGTTGCCCATGAATACTAGGCAAATGTGCTTTTGATTAAGTACTAAATAAACATTACCTTTACTAAATAATCAGTGTGTGGGGTGAAGTGTAAGCTGTGATGAAATTAAAGTGACTTCAAAGTGAATTTCTAATTTAGGCCAAAATTGAACAGCTTATTAGTGTTTTCTGTGAACCACCTACTAATTCCAGTGGGGTCTCTCAAAACTTAAAGGGGCACTCTGGGCACCACAATAACTTTTTTTTTTTTAATTCTTTATTTTTCATGTGGAAAGGTAACAGATTCATGAATCTGGCCACAACAGCCTTGACACAACGAGTAGAATCAGTGCATATTAAATACAAGGCATTGTTGTGTGCTAGTCACACACATTTTATATTTACAATAGGTCACATTGTTATAGTGAGGTTTGAAATCTAATAACTGTGGGGGTGTAAGACTTCTGTCTGCCTAAGACACCCTAAGTTCTGTGGAGTTGTGGGTGGAGGGGGGAAGGCAGTTATAGCTAGGTCCAGTGGCTGTTCCCAATTCCAGTTTGTGCGACTATAAGTTATGGGTGTTGGTTGTGTCTCTTGGCCCTTCCGAGTTTGGACAGGAAGCGAGTTGCGGTAGTTGCGGGGTCTCTCTATGTGTGCCCTTTCTAGGACTATGTCCGCTCCTCTTTTTGTCCCTGATTGTAGCTATTGGTGGGTACCCATGTGTGCGGTGCTCTAGGTGTCCAAAGGTGTCTTTTTGGCCCTAGTGGTAGCTGCAGGTTGTTCCTAGTCAGTGTAGTAACCAGAAGTTTGTGTCTAGGTATATATATAAGTCGCTGTAGTGTGACAGGATCAAGTTGTGCCCTTGGGGCTTTAGGCTAGGGGTATCAGACCTTGCGGTGAGCTTGATTCCAGTCAGGGTTACTATGTTGCCCTTGATGTCATTTCCCATTAACCCCAGGGAGGGGGGAAGGGGGATTGTTATCGGAGCTGGTGTGCTCGGCTCTGGTGGGCCTTTTTAGCACTGTAATGGCCGTCAGAGTGTGGGGGAACTACATATAACTTAAATGAACAGTCTTATTAACTTAAAATATTTAAACTAATTAAACTAAGGCCTATGAGGCCGTCGGTGAGGCAGTTCATTCAGGTTTTGGTTTTCGGGCCTCTGCTTGTTCCAGGGGTGCGGATGAATCTGTGCTCGTTGTCCCTGGTCGATGATCTGGCTGTGTCGCTGAGGTCGCTGCGAGGTTCGATATTCCCAATGCGGTCATCAGTGCTGGGCCCTCTGTGTGGTCGGTGGCCCTGTAGTGCTTGTCATCTTTAGTGATCCAGAGAGTTCCTGGTGTTGCCCATCTATAGGCGACTCCTGCGGCTTGGAGTTGTTTGGTGATTGGTTGCATACTTTTGCGCCATATCAGTGTGGCCCTGCTCAAGTCCTGAAAGAAAGAGAGTTTGCTGTCTTCAAAGTCAAGAGGTGTCTTCCCTTGGATAGCTGCCATTAGCCCCAGTTTGTCCAACATTGATTGGCATCTCAATATTATGTCCCGTGGGGCTGAGTTGGGTGCTTGTGGGGATTTGGCTATCCTGTAAACCCCGTCGAACTGGAACGTTTTGGATTGTCTAGTCGGCAGGAGTGTGGCCACAAGGCGTCTGGTGAAGTGTGGCAACTCTTCCAGCGGTATTGATTTAGGTACCCCTCGGATTTTTATGTTTTTTCGGTGCCCTCTGTCATCTAGGAGGGTAACTTGCCTGGACATTGTCGCTTGTGCAGCTTGAAGGTGTCGCACCTTCTCCCCCAGTTCCTGGTAATTCTCTCTTAGTCCCTTTACCTCCTCTTCTACCGCCTGAGTGCGCGTGGACACGGCGTGCACGTCTAGTTTAAGCACTGCCAGGTCCGCTTCCCACATTTGTCTTAAGTTCTGTTGCAGGCCTGTCAGCATAGCCTGTATATCTTGTTTTGAGGCCGGTGCGCTGGCTTCTGGCATCCACGTGTGTGTGGGGTGTTGGGGATTAAGGTGTGGGCTGTCTAGCGGTTCTCCCTCCTCTGATGGTCACGGGGGGTCTGTGCCTTCACCACAATAACTTAATGAGAATGAAGTTATATTGCCATGGGGTTCCTTGCACCGGCTTACCATCAATGGTAACTTTGCCCATTTCCTTCTGCTTGTGCCTGAGCCTTGAGACAGTAAGCCTTGGACAGGGATGCCGTTGATGCTCTCAGCCTATCTGTAGCTACCCATTCACAAAAGAAAGGTATATATGTTTCTCAAGCCGTTTTGTGAATGTGGAGCTACCAATAAGCTGAGGTCGTCAGCTTCCTGAATTAAGCCTCGGACAGATGCGGAAGGTGATGGTCTAAGCTAAGCTGGACTGGATTCAACACTTTGGGGTTAAAAGCTTGTTAATGGTTTAACCCCTTAAGGACTGGACTGTTTTTGCGATGTTGTACATTTGCGACCAGGCATATTTTTACACTTTTGTGGTGTTTGTGTTTGGCTGGAATTTTCCGCTCTCTCATTTACTGTTCCCATACAAATTATATATTGTTTTTTTCAGGACAAAAGGGGCTTTCTTTACATACCATTATTTATATAATCTCATGTATTTTAATTTAAACAAAAATAAAAAAATATGATGAAAAATTGAAAAAAATACATGTTTTTTGACTTTTACTTGAAAAATCTTTTACTCATCTACAAAAGGGAATTAAAAAAACTGCCAAATAGATTCAAAATTTTGTCCTGAGTTTAAAAATACCCCGTGTTTACATGCTTTTTTGCTTTTTTTTGCATGTTATAGAGCTATAGGTACAAGTAGAATATTGCGGTTTCAAAACATAAATTTTTTAAATTTATCAATAGTGACATTGTAACACTATTATCTGTCATAAATCTCTGAATAACACCCACATGTACATATTTTTTTTAAAGTAGACAACCCAGGGTATTCAATATGGGGTATGTCCAGTCTTTTTTAGTAGCCACTTAGTCGAAAACACTGGCCAAAGTAAGCATTCATATTTGTTTGTGTGTGAAAAAAGTAAAAAAACTAAATTGAACGCTAATTTTGGCCAGTGTTTGTGACCAAGTGGTTACTAAAAAAGACTGGACATACCCCATTTGCAATACCTTGGGTTGTCTTCTTTTGCAAATGGTATGCCATCATGGGGGTAATTCTCATTCCTGGGCTACCATACGCTCTCAAAGGCAACGTAACCAACCTGGCCATTTTCAATGTAAAAATATTTGACCCATATATTTGACCTTGTAACTTTCAAAAATGCTATAAAACCTGTACATGGGGGGTACTGTTTTACTCGGGAGACATCGCTGAACACAAATATTAGTGTTTAAAAACTGGAAAACGTATCACAACAATTATATCATCAGTAAAAGTGCTGTTTGTGTGTGAAAAATGCTAAAAAAGTAACTTTCACTGACAATATCATCGCTGTGATATGTTTTACTGTTTTGAATCACTAATATTTGTGTTCAGCGAAGTCTCCCGAGTAAAACAGTACCCCCCATGTACAGGTTTTAGGGTGTCGTAGAACGTTACAGGGTAAAATACAGTGCTAGCAAATTCAATTCTCTGGAATTTCGGCCTGGGTTGGCAGGCAGGTCCCTTAAATTGCAATCAATAAAATTACTGAATTATGTAAAACTATTACATAAATATGCACGTAGAATTTAAATATATATGCATATTTATATATCTGAAGTCTACGTGTATATTTATATAATTATTTATGTAATTTTGTATATGGACATATGTATATTTCTTATTATTTTTATTTATTTTTTATATACATAGATATATATACAAATTCATTCTAAGTGTATTTTGATATAAATATATATATATTAATTTTAAAATACAGTTAGAATAAAATTTCATATAGATATAATTTTTTTTAAATTTTTTTATTATTTTAAATTTTTTTTATTTAATTTAAATTACTTATTATTTATATTTTATAATAATAATATATATACAATATATATAGTTATTATATATATTACATATATACGTGTGTAATTTAATTATAAGTGTATTTTTATATTAATATAAGTACATATTAATATAAAAATACACTTAGTATGGCATTATATAGATGATATATAGACATATATTATATAGATATATTATATGTCTATATATCATATATACACATATATAATTATTATTATTTTTTTTATTACCATTAACTTTATTTTTTTTTTTTATTTTACACTAGCAGGGAGACTGCCTGTCAGCACAGACAGTCCCCCTGCAGGCAGCACTATGGACTGTGTTAAGCGATCACATGGCCACAGGGGTCCTAAATCAGTGTGGGGAGACTTTCTGGGCTGCAGGCAGTCTCCCCACAACCGGAGCAACACTGATCGCCGCCGGGGGAACGACGGCGATCAGGTAAGTACCCCCAGACCGTTAGGACGGTTCAGGACCGTCATCGGTCCTCAAGGCAAAAATGCCGATGACGGTCCTGAACCGTCCTCGGTCGCTAAGGGGTTAAACCCTGATTGTAAGCCATTTAAGTTGTTATGGTGTCCAGAGTTTTCCTTTAATTGCATTTGACTGAATGAAGAGCTCATTGTACACATGTCTGGATTCCCCCCATACACAATTTATTGACAAGCTATTATGTTGGCACATAAAAAAAAACCTTTAAAAAAAAAAAATAGGTTGGGAGATCATGTGGTTTCACAATTTGACTTCCAGAAAAAAAAGATGAAAAAAAACAAACAAACAAAAAAAAAAACAGTTATGGGATGATCCCATTAAATAGGATATATCAAGGGTAGGACCGACCACCACACTGAATGACGCATGTTTACATCACTCCTACAATCACCTATTTGATAGCTTAAATACCAGCAATCTGTTACTAAACCTTTGCTGGAGGGTGTTGTCATCCTATTTGTGGTGTGACCTGGGATGGGCCCAATATAAAGGGGATTGTGACTCCCAGAATATGAGGCCTCCCCAGCAGTGGTATATTTTGGTTTTGTGCTGCCCTAGGCATGACTAAACCTGGGCACCACCCCAATCTAAATTTGTCCCACCCATTCCTGTCAAGGCCACACTTCTTCCTAATTAAGAACTCACCCTTCCTCTTAAGACTCCACCTTGTCCTACTCCTCTTAAAGGAACACAAAGCTGTTTTCCTGGCACTATAGTTCCCTATAGTGTCCCCCTTGCTCGTACGCTCCCCCCGCCACCCACTCTGCACTGAACGGGTTAAAAAAAACTTAATTTACCTGATGTACCTCAGCACTGGGTCAAGCTCCTCCTTCGAGCTAGCATCATGCTTCCCCTTAGGAAAGCATTGTATCACTTCTTTCCTATGGGGATTTAGCAGACCCTGGATGTCTTCATACACAGCGTGAGGACGTCCAGCATCAGTTAGTGGAGTTAACCCCTCAAGGTAATTATTGCAGTTTCTGGGAAACTGCAATAATTACACTTGCCAAGTTAAGGGGACTGGGGCACTGCAACCAGACAACTTCAATGAGCTGGAGTGGTCTGGGTGCCTACAGTGTCCCTTTAAGCACACACTCTGACAGACACATTCACTAACAGACAAACACAGATGTCACTGACAGACACAAACTCACTGATTAGACACACACACACACACTCCCAGACACACACATATTCACAGACACACACACACCGCCTCTGATGAAGCGAGTTTGAATTCACTAAACGCGTAAGGACTTTTTTGGCATCTGCCGCCAAAATCGCTTGACTACCGAGTTGTAGTCAAACGCAGGAGGAGAGAGAAGTGGAACGCATGCGGCACTGCATACACATCTACCTTCAAACCGGCCGGAGTGAAGGTCCATGAAAGCCACACAGAGCCTTTCACCAAAGCATTCTCACAATACGCTTGTTTTTAACCTACAAATTGTGGGTGATTTTAATTAAATATAGCTAATAAACACATTTTAAACAGTGAGCACTATGGTTTTCAACTTTACTGTTTTGTAGAACGACGGGAGGATTTCAGCAGTTAAGATCACCATATATGATCTATAAGTTTTTTTTTACTTCTATCCTTGTACTAAATATTTGGATTGACACAGCTCAAGAACACACCGATAGTACTATAATAAAATAGCATGTTTCAATAAACCCCAGCTGTGTCAATAGCTGGAGCCATCTGATACAGGCAGACACAGTATATCTCCATACACTGTATCAATTGCACAAAGTAGCGACTTTGTGATGATACTTTATTAAAAGACTGGGACTTTATTATTATCATCACTTTTAATATTGGGACTAAGTGTAATATATTAGTATACAAATATTGTTGTTTTTCAGCTTTTATAATTCTTAAAGGCTTATTACATACACCATAATTACTCCTGGTAATCTATTAGATGTAATCTAATAATTTTCTTTTACATACAGACACACCCTCACAGACATACTCACAGACACATACACACAGAGACACACACTCACAAATTATTATTATATAGAGGTCCAGTGGGGCTTCTGGGAGGCGTGCGGCTGTGTTAGAATTAGAGGTGGCGAGGAAGCTGTGATCTCCCTGCTCTGCTCCCTCACGCATTGTGGGCCGTCTACTGCTGCCAGGAGCCGGAATGACATCATATTCCGGCTCCCGGCATCAGCAAATGGCGAGTGAGGCGCGAAGGAGCAGAGCAGGGAGATCACAGCTCCCTCACCACCTCTGATTCTAACACAGTCGCCTGCCGGGGGTCCATAAAGTGGCCAACAGGCCAGGTCTTGGACCCCCCAATGACAGGGGGAACACAAGGGACATCTGAGTGGACGTTTGGGGGCGGCATTTTTTGCCGCCCCTGGTTAGTGCTGCCCAAGACAAATGCCTAGTTTCCCTTGGGCTAAATACACCACTGCTCCCCGGTGCTGGGAGCAGTTCAAGAGAAGATCTCGACACACCACCTGCGTTCTGGGACTTGAGTACTGCAAGTTGCTGGGTGGAGGTTCAGTGGCATGTACTGAGCAGTGGGGGCCCGCAGCAAGCTGTAACTTACCTTCAGCTCCCTTGTTTAAATCTCGTGGCCAGCGTGCTGCGCGGAGTGTTGCCATGGTAACCCGTGGCAACGCTCTGACATCCGCGGGACTTGCAAGATTTATACAGGGAGCTGAAGGGAGCTGCTGGGAAAATAATAGCTTGCTAAACCCCCCCCCCCGAACCGCCGGGCTTGTAATCTTTATTGGCCGATACCTATATTGCCGAAAATACAGAATATTGGACGATAATACCAGTAAAACTGATAATCGGTCGATCCCAATACAGTTCATGAATTACTTATAATTGCTAGCTTGCTAATATTATATATATATATATATATATATATATATATATATATATTTGTATTTTAAATGGTTTTCACTGTAAGTTTGATGTACTAAGCACATGGGCTTGTCCCGAGTAAAAATAAAGCTGAGTATGTTAGTTCTTTTTGGAACTATGAGATCCTGTGTGGATTTGTGGAGATCCCTGTTGGCTGAGATGGTCCCAGTGGCCCAGAAGAAGTGCAAAGGCCTGAGAGCCGCAAGTGATCATATTAAAGGTAGAGGGGGTGAAACCTACGTGGAAGGAGAGAGCTGCAGTCTGATCCAGGATGTTAAGCTTCAGTGACTGTGTCTGAAGCGCTCCAGGGTCTCTGATGGCAGCGAGAAGGCAGACTTGGCGGAGTTACTCGTTCAGAGTAGCTCCGTCACACACAGTGTACTGTAGTGGTTAGGCTGACAAGAACCCCCTGACATCATCCTATAGTAAGTGTCAGATGACACTATCGGCCAATAAATATTAATAAAATTGATGTATCTATTCAGGAAGTGGAACATATACTTTAGCTATTGCAGAAGAGGGAGCCAGCCCGCAGGCCACTGATACATATCAAATCACTCAAAAACAGTTTGACTACAAATTGTGGGAAGGCACCAGGAGACGTCTGGTACCATAACCATTACAGCAGGCCAGGATTTAAATTTTAAAAACCACGCACATGCAAGAGTGTATTTACAAATCTGCAGCCTATTAGCAGACCAGGAATGTATTCGCTATCTATATACTTGCATATTTTAGGCTAAAATGAAAAATACTCAAAGCCAGCTAATTTTCCAAATAGACCTGCCAAAAAATTGCAATTCAGTTTTCAATTCTCCACAATGTGTAGTTTGGTGAATAATCCCATGAACACGTAACTACATGATAACACAAAATTAAATAACAGAATAGTGGTGGGTATTGTGGCATGAAAAACTGCATCCTTGTAGGTGGGATGTGACATATTACTCAATATCATGTAAATGTCTCAATGCACTCCATATGTTGCCAAGCAATTTACAACACGATGAAATCCCAGCACGACGCTTACACAATGCAGAGGTTATTACCCACAGATGATGTGGATTACTTTGTGGTTTCCATTACTGCTTTATTGATGTTTGTCATGTGTGTTGGGATATGAGATTGGGAAAATAACCCCACACTTAAATAACCCTCTCTGCACACTGGAACATTACAGAGGTGCTGAAATATTTCATTGCTTCTGGTTACTATCAAACTGTACTGAGATCCAGAGACCCCTTTTGGTCTCAAGAGAGTAGTACAGTACTTGTGTTTATCACCAGTAACATAACACAGGCCTCTTAGACAAGATTAAAAAACTGATTTTCTGGACAACGTCAGCAGTCAGTATGAATCTGGATTTGCAGATTATAGATTGTATTATCTTTATAGCTGGATGTTGTGTTAGAGAAAGCAGATTAGCAAAAATAAATATTTGTGATATAAAGAGTTTCCATCATAAAAATATAGACTTTGCAGAGAGTTTAGTTATTTAAATGCAATAGAAGAAAAGTCAGTGTGACAACGTGTGAGTTGTCCGCAGAGATCGCTGTCTGGTTCATGTCAGAAATAATAACAACAATAATAAAACAAAATGTATCTCTCTATCTATCTAACATGCGCACACGCACATTAATTTATTTTATGATTATTTGTTTTCACTTTTAATAAAGAGTGTGCTCCATTATATAGGATGGGTATGTATGTGAAACACAACTGGAAGTTACTACATGATTAGTCCTGGTGAAAACACCAGCTGTAAGTCAAGCATTTGCAGTACATTGCAATCCCAGGTGCATGATGAGGTCACAGTGCAATGTACTGACAGTTCTTTCATTACGACCAACATATAGGATTGCAGAACACACGCGGAGAAAGTTATATGTCAAATTGTATGTTTCTGTTTACCTGATTCAGACAATGTGTGTTCATGTCTGTTGAAGTCAAGTCTAAGTTTTTTATTCAGATCATGCCTGCATATACACAACACCAAAGCAATAAATAGACCATCAATGCTAGACACACATTTATTTATGTATTTTTCTATGCAATTGGGCAAGATTAAATTATCAAATTATGGTAAAAAAAAAAAAAAGGCTAAAATATACCTGCAACCTGTTTTCATATTTTTTAACCTTTGTCTCTTCCCTGGCGCGTGTCCCCCTCCCTTAACTCACCCATCCACCTGTGGCCCATTTTCACCTATGTGCTCTTCCCTTGACTAAGTGCCAATCTTATGTCTTTTTTCATCTGGGGCCCAATACACAGTCCTAACCACACCACTCATTACCAATGCATAATCTTCTATAGTCATAGTCTCCATTCCCAAGACAGTACTATCCCAGTCCATAATATCCCATTTATCTACAAGTCACATACCTACATCTCATATTTCATCTATCCCAGATCCATAGCCATATTTGTCCATCCCCATATGTCCACCATGTCTAAGAACCCTCTCCAAAGTTGCAATCTCATATTTCCCTTTTGACAAACTATCCATAGCCATATTCTATCACTCATATTAACATGAGCTATAATGTCCCACTTCAACACTATAGTAGCCATATTGCCATATTTCCATTATCATTGGCATGGTTGCCATATTCTGTATCCTCACAGTTATCTTCCCCAACCCAAATGTAGCTAGCAAATTAATATTTTGTAGTATTAAGCAAAGTATTATGCTGCGCACCGGGACTGCATGGTGAACTCAAACTAGTTCTAAGCACTATTCTGGAAGTTTTGTTGATCTAGTTACTGAACTTTCAAGAGGCCTTTAAGAACTAGAAATTAAAGGGACTCTCTAGTGCCAGGAAAACATATTTGTTTTCCTGGCACTGCAAGACTCTACAGTGGCCCTCTCCCTCCCACCCCTCATCACAAGTTTCTGGGGGGGTTAAAACCTCTTCAGTGATGTCTCTCGGCGCTGGGTCAGCCTCTGCCTACTCTCCTCCCCCACCGACGTCAGCAGGGGAGACCTAGTGTGCATGCGCCGCAATGGCTGTGCACATTATTCAATGCTTTCCTATGGGGATTTCGGCAACGCTGGAGGTCCTCACATAGCATGAGGACGTCCAGCGTCGCTTAAAAAACTCTTCGTGTTCTAAGAACATGGAAGTCCCTCTAGTGGCTGTCTGATAGACAGCCACTAGAGGAGGACTTAACCCTGCAAGGTAATTATTGCAGTTTATAAAAACCGCAATAATTACCTTGCAGGGTTAAGGGTAGTGGGAGTTGGCACCCAGACCACTCCAATGGGCAGAAGTGGTCTGGGTGCCTGGAGTGTCCCTTTAAGCAATGTATTCACTTCCATTGTCTGTTTGAAATCAGTTTTGTGAAAAAGGAGAAGTTGAACAATTATTTGGCTTCATTTAAAACCAGGAGAAGTTGAACAATTATTTGGCTTCATTTAAAAAAACGAAAATTAAAGGGACATTATAGTCACCAGAACAACTACGGCTTATTGTATCTGTTCTGGTAAGTATAATCATTCACTTCAGGCTTTTTGCACACAGAGTTTTCAGTGAAAAGGTAGTGTTTACATTTCAGCCAACTCCACTGGCCATTCCTCGGATGGCTGCTAGAGGTGATTCCTAGGGCAGTGCTACACTTCCACTGCCATTCAGTGTCTCTACCCTCTGCATGGAGACACTGAACTTTCCTCATAGAGATGAATTGACTTAATGCATCTGTATGAGGAGATGCGGATTGGCCAGCGCTGTGGATGGTTTGTGTTGACTCTGACCCTGATTTGCCTCCTTGACAATATCAGCCAATTCAATGCTTTCCCAAGGGAAAGCCTTGTGATTGGCTCTGAACACCACTTCTGATTATGACAAACCAAGCAGGCAGATCAAGGACAGTGCCAGCACCAGCAGACTGGAATAAAGGTGAGATTTTACTATATTTAGGAAGGGCATGGGGACTAGATAGTGTTTTTAACACTATAAGGTCAGGAATACATTGGAGCTCTGAATTTTGCAGGCAAGCTTACCGTGAAGAGAGGAATCTGAGTGAATAAGGTCATCAAAGTTTAGTTGCTTCAACTCAGAATGGATGGATGATTGGAGTGGATCAGATACAGCTGAGTAATGGTCACTAAAAAAAAAAAAAAGATTCACAAATAGTATTATTGCATCTTCTGAAATATATCTCATATATAATATTAATAATAATAATCAATAATAGGGGTAGGCCGATTATCGATTTGGCCGATATCATCGGCCGATATTCCAGATTATGGCAAATATTGGTCACTATTGATATTGATATTTCCAATAATGTGAGAGGCGGCGGTGGCCCAGCAAACGCGAGGCCAGCCACCTTAGGGCACACCGGCTATGGGGAAGCAACAATCGAGTGACCGGCAGGAAGGAAGCGCACAGCACTCCCCCCTACCAGTCACTCAGTGTAGCGTGGTCGAGCACGTGACAGGGAAGGGAGGCAAGGAGAGAGGAACACTAAGGGACAGGGAGGGGAGAGGTACACGAACACTAAGGGACAGGGAAGGGAGGGGAGAAATACACTAAGGGCAGGAAAGGGAGGTAAGGGGAACAGAGAAGAACACTAAGTATTCTTGTATACATAAAAAAAAAAAAAAAATCTGACAGGCATGTATATTTTGTGCATTTACCACTTAACAAAAAGATTTGCGAAAAAAATAAACATGTTCAGTTAACAGTAGATTTATGTAGAAATTGTTTCTTTTTTCAAAATTGTAAATGTACAGAATATCGGTAAGCTATCGGCCTGAAAGTTCACAGATTATCGGTATCGTCTCAATACAGGTCAATCCCTAATCAATAATTATACATCTTTCAGCTTTGCATCAAATTGGTCATAACTGATGGATTCAATTCAGAAACCCGTGGAGGACAAATGCCGTCTGGTTGGTAAACAAAACAGGTTTGTTTATTTTTTTTAAGTAAATAAATAATTTGATTGGAAATGTAATTAGGACATTATTACTGGATTACACCCAATAAAAAGGATGCAGTATGAAACCTTGTTAAACATGAAAACATTATTTTTCGCTGTCTCTGATTTATATTAATTTGTCCATATTTTCCTCTACTTTTACAATACTAATAAATGCATAACATACTGCTACATGCTATACATCTCTTAAACTACAAGACCCACTTACAAACAAACTGCCCCAACAATTAGAAGGAAAGGACAGTTGTATGTTTCCACTAAATGCATGGACACATTTCTATTTATATCAATCAGCAAACAGCAAGAGGTCTACAGAATCCATACAACTGCTTGCACATCTGCAAAGAAAACTGTCAGCTTCTCTATATTTAGTTCATTTTGATCAATTAATAAAAAATAAAAAAAATGCAAAGTGAGTGAATAGTAGAAAAATCTAAACAAAGTCAATATTTGGTGTGACGACCATTTGCCTACAAAACAGCATAAATTGTTCTAGGTACACTTACACACAATTTTGTAAGGAACTCAGCAAACAGGTTGTTACAAACATAAAAACTGTACGTCTGCGGATTTAGGCAGCCTCAGTTGCTTCTATCTCTTATTGTAATCCTAGACAGACTCAATGTTGAGATCAAGGCTTTGTGGGGGAAATACCATCACTTCCAAGTCTTGTTCTTCTTTACGCTGAAAATATTTCTTAGTTACTCTGATTGTATGTTTAGGTTCATTGTCATGTTGCAGAATACATTTGAGGCCATTTAGATGACACCCTGATGTTATCCTGCGAGCCCAAACAACTATTTCACACATTTAACTCTCTCCACCTACTAACTTGACCGTCTCAGACTTTGCAACTCACTTCACTGACAAGATCTCTACAATCTCTCATCTTTTTTGTTCCCCTTACAATACTTCCCCTAACCTCACTCCCTCTGCTGTTCTATGTTCATTCGCACCCGCTACAGCGGAAGAGGTTACTGCTCTGCTCCAGTCCTCCTGCCCCACCACCTTCTCCCTAGATCCAATTCCCACGCATCTCATCCATACTCTGTCTCTGTCTCCTTCTCTACCTCTCACTAAAATTCTCAATCTCTCTCTCTCCACTGGCATATTTCCATCACCCTTCAAACATGCAACTGTAACCCCAATTCTAAAGAAGCCCAACCTTGACCCTAACTCCCCGTCCAACTACATTTCTATCTTGCTACTGCTTTTTGCATCCAAGATCCTTGAAAGAGTTGTATATGCGAAATTGACAGACTTCCTCAAGTCCAATTCTCTGCTAGACCCACTTCAGTCTGGTTTCCGCGCTAAGCACTCTGTGGAATCGGCACTGACCAAAGTATCCAATGATCTACTCGCTGCAAAATCTCGTGGTCACTATTCTATCCTAATTCTCCTTGACCTTTCTGCGACTTTTGACACTGTTGATCATCAACAGCTTCTCATCCTGCGCAATATCGGTCTACAATATATTGCTCTTTCCTGGTGCTCCTCCTACCTCTCCCAGCGCTCTTTCAGTGTTTCTTTCTCTGGCTCTGCTTCTTCTACCCAACTCCTCTCTGTTGATGTCCCCCAAGGTTCAGTTCTTCGGTCCCCTACTGTTCTCCATCTATACTGCCTCGCTTGGTAAACTCATTAGCTCCTTTGCCTTTCAATATTTTATGTGGATAACACGCAAATCTACCTGATCTCTCCCCGTCTCTTGACTAGTGTCTCTGACTGCCTCTCTGCTATTTCTAACTGGATGGCTGCCCACTTCCTTAAACTCAACCTGACCAAAACTGAAACTCTGGTCTTTCCTCCCTCAAAAGTTGCTACTTCTGGGTCTGTCTCCCTCCAAGTCAACGGTGCTATCATCAGCTCCACCACGCAGGCTCGCTGCCTAGGTGTTCTCTTTGAATCCGACCTCTCCTTCACGCCTCATGTTCAGTCTATCACCAAATCCTGACGCTTCCAACTCAAAAACATTGTGTGCATCCGACCCTACTTAACGCCAGATGCGACTAAGGTGCTGGTCCATTCCACTGTCCTTTCTCGCCTTGACTACTGTAATCCACTTCTCAGTGGTCTTACGTGCTCCCAACAGTCCAGTCTCGCCGTTACAGTCCATAATGAATGCGGTGGCCAGGCTCATCTTCCTGTCCACTCGCCCTGCCCACGCCTCACCCATCTGTCAGTCCCTACATTGGCTTCCTGTAAGATATAGGGCTCAATTTAAAATTCTGGTTCTTGCTTTCAAATATCTACATAATGCTGCTCCCACCTATCTATCCTCCCTAATATACAAGTATGTCCCGTCTAGGCCCTTACGCTCTACTGAAGACTTACGCCTTCAAGACTTCGCGAGGGCTACACCGTTCCTGTGGAACTCACTTCCCTCCTCCGTTAGATGCTCACCCAGTCTCCACTCCTTCAAAAAAAATCATTAAAAACCCACTTCTTCATAAAAGCGTATCAATTAAACTGTCTTCTGCTACAGCCAAATCTTTCAAAATTTGACTCATCAGTCCAGAGCACCTGCTGCCATTTCTCTGCACTCCTATTCCAGTACTTTTATGCATTGTTCAGTCTCCATGCCTTGTTTCCTGGTCAGACTTTAGCCTTTTTGACCACAAACTTTCCATGAAGACCACTTCTGATGGCTCTATACAGTCGAAGGATGTACCAGGTTCCAATTAGTTTCTACCAATTCTGAGCTGATGACACTGTTGGACATCTTCTGATTGCAAAGGGAAGTAAGTATAATGTGTCTTTCACATGCTGCATTAAGTTTCCTTGGCCGACCATTGCATCTACAATCCTCAATATTGCCTTTCTCTTTGTGCTTTTTCATAAGAGCTTTGGCAGTACTTCTGGAAACCCTGACTGCCTTGAAGAGGCCTTGATTTAGCACTATAACTACTGTATGTCTTGCCATAGTGTATGACTTTTGATATTAGACATTTTTTAGCAAAAACACCTAGTTAGCACAGTTTGGCTATTCCTCACCCAGTTTTTATCCTACCACACAGCAGTTTCTGGTTCGCTCAATGATTGTATTTTGATCTACATTACCACTTGTTTGGTACAATTGTTTAATCATGCACCTGTTTGTATGCCTACAAAATCAATGACTTTGTGAAAGTGTACTTAGTAGTATGATATTAAAAGCACAACACACTTTGCCTACACACACACACACATATATATATATATATTTAGATTTGGTTCTGTTCACTCACTTTGTATTTTGATAACTTTTCAAACTTAACTATTAAGTTTTCTATTTTTAAAAGCATTCTTACTGTGCAATATATATATATATATATATATATATATATATATATATACACACATACATACAATTATTAATTTTATTTACCGGGAAACCAGCTTTTTTTCAGTCTCTTGACAAAGAAGAGCAACCTCTTGATTCAGTGTAGGAAACTGGCTATTCTTTGGTATCGGAGACAGCGGCTTATTGCGACTGTGATGAGATGATGAAATATAGGAACCATCATGATCTGTTACTAGAAAGAAAAAAAAAAGAATCACAGTTCCAGGTCATTTAGCCAATATATTTGGACATTTATTTTGCAGATAGGTATATGTATAATAAATAAATACCTTCTGAGGAAATATGTTCTTTTTTGTTTATTGTTTGGAAAACATTGGCTTTAGGCGTTGAAGACAGTCGACGAGAAGATACCTTTGAAACAAGTGGTGTCCTCTCACACTCGGTAGTTACTAACTCTTCGCACCTCTGTATTTTCAGTCTGTTTAGAAGGATATGCTGTTGAGGAGTCAGGTTGTCACCTACAAAATTCACCTTTTGATGAGATGCAGCAGAGACATTATTTAAGAATCCTCTTCTTGGTTGAGCACTAGACTGAGTCATGCTTTCCACCTCAGCCGCATATATGAGTCTGTCCTTGTAGTTACGGTAAGCCTCCTCCAAATACTCTGCATCTTTTTCAAGCTCTTTGATTTTGGCCTTTGTGTTGGCTACAAACTCGAGATCTGAATCTGGAGAGCTGCTGCGAGTTCTTGCGGCATAGCAATAATGTGAATTAGAGGTACCACCAGCTTCAAAGGCATTAAATACTAGATGGCTTTTCATTGGATCTTTATCAATGTAAATATATGGAGGTCCCGTCCTGCTTGTTGTGAAGCCTTGCACAGAGCGATCGACAAAAGATGGTTTGGGGTTGCGATACACTTCCTTTTCAAAAGCTGCACGTGAAATAGAAACACACAAGTAGAAACTATTGAGAAACACAATCATTTAGTACACTGATATATATATATTTTTCTAAGCAATGATCTCAAAAGCAACACCAGACATAAAGTGAAAAGATCTTCATAATCTAAAATCAAATCATTCTATACAGGTAAAAACTGAAACTGCAAAGTATAAAGACAATAACTAGTTCATTATTACAAATGTCATTCTGCTCATATTTCCACAGTGTTTTAAAAAAAAAAAAAAAAATAACAACGCAACCGTAACAATCTGTTTTAAGAAAAATAAATTAAATAAACTTTAAGCACAAAATAACTTTACTTCCATTAAGCAGCTTTGGTGTATAGATCATGCCCCGGCAGTCTCACTGCTGAATTATCTGCAATTTAGCCAACATGGAAAAATAGTTTCATTTTCAATCAGACGTGACTGCACTGAGTGTTTACCAGAGACATTTTTCTATCTTTTACTCTGTTAATTTGACATTTAACCAAACACTGAACACTCCTATAGGCTCACAACAGAGCAGGAAATTCTAAATTCTAAATTACACAGATTGTGCAACAAAGGAAGATTAAACATTGCATCTCTCTTTACAGGAAATATGTAGGGAGACTGGGTAAGTCACACGCAGAGACTAGGTCTGCATAAGCAAAGTGATTTAAAGGG